GACCAGTGGCAGTTATATTACACACACACACACACACACACACGGGACCAGTGGCAGTGATAACACACACACACACACACACAAACATGACCAATAATATTACACACACACACACACACACACACACATGGGACCAGTGGCAGTTATATTACACACACACACACACACACATGGGACCAGTGGCAGTTATATTACACACACACACACACACACACACACACACACACACAGAGGCCGGGGCGGCGAGGGCACTTGCTCACACGCTGATGGACAGCTGCTGACTGGAAGACTGCTGGGTCTCTGCAGAGGCCATCAGGGACTGGGGGCTGACCAGTGCCATGGTGATGATGGGCGGGGTCTCCTGCATCACTTTCCTCTCTGTGGGGGCCGGGGCGGGACCCTGTCAGCAGAAAGGCCATGAGGAGGGAGTGTCTGCAGGGGGCCCACGAGGGTCCATACCATGACCCGGCAGCGCTGCACCTCAGTGCCAGTACCCGTCTCAGAACCGCTTGCTGACCTCATGTTCCGGTCATGCCAGAGGTCTTTGGAGCTCCCTGTTCAACCACGAGTGGGGCGGACGGGGGGTGGCCCACCCGGCACGTTCATCCTCACTTATGGGAGAGAGTGTTCCTACGTACCAGGGCCCCCAGATCCCTTCAGTAGAAGCCACACCCACACCTGAGCATGCCCCCCTGATCGACGCGGCTCACACAGGAGAGACGCTAGGTCAGGCTCAAACACCTAATCCTAACCCTAATCCTAATCCTAACCCTCTCTTACTGTTTGGCATTGATCCAAATAAAGCCCAGAAGTTACATGATCACATGGGTATCAGATATACGCTGTTTTATTTTTTGTCACAAGCATTACACTCTAAGGACGGACACACACATCCACAAGTCCACTATCATGGTGGGAAATCCAGTGTGAGGGTGTATGGCCACTTGTTTTTAGCTCTGTGGGGAAATTTCACCTCAAAAACACCAAAACCCTGATATAGGATAAAGACTGCACCCTGATATAGGAACAACGTGCTACCTCACATCTCTGGATTCTCATCGTGGTTCCGTGTGTGTGGAGTTTGCATGTTCTCCCTGTGTCGCCGTGGGGTTTCCTCGGGGTTCTCCGGTTTCCCACCCCACAGTCCAAAAATAGACTGAGGTTAACTGGAGTAACCAAATTGTCCATAGGTGTGCATGTGTGAGTGAATGTTGTGTGAGTGTGTGATGGGTTGGCGCCCCATCCAGGGTTGTTCCCTGCCAACGTATGATGCGTTCTACACACCCTGCTTTCTATGAACCTTCTTGAAACTGCCACCAAGCAGCAGAAGTCAGGGAAAGTTGGGGCCTTCCTGGACCTCAGAAGCGGGGGTGAGGAACTGGGTGGCCGGACCGCAGGCAGCCTCAGTGGGTGTCCCTCTGCCTGACACCTAACTGGTAAGACCTGACTCCGATACACGGACCCCAAAAAAAGAAGGAACTTCAAAAGGGTTCCATCAGGGTGCATGCAGGCCTCAGTATGACAGCGGGTCCTCAGCTGTCGGCTGTAAATGGAAGCTGAGAAAAGCATGAATCATTCAGAAGCAGGCAGCCAGCGGCTGGGGCTCACTGAGGTGAGGCAGCTGCCCGCACACGGGCTCATGGTCTATGCGGAATGTCAGCCGGTGGGGTCAGGCCAGACCAGCCAAATACAAATTAGCAAGCGAGCTGCAATGGATGCCAACCCAAACCGTACTTACGCATTCCAGAGCACGGGCTTGTTTTCACAGTTACACAGAACATGACCAAAGGCCATTAGGGAATCAGCTCAAGCTCATACAGCTGGAGATCTTTGTTTAGCCGTGTTTGGGGAGCACCTCCCTGCTTGTACATGGGGAGGCCCCCTTCCCTGTCTCATATAACAGATAGAGATTCCCTGCCTTCCTCGCAGAATCACGGGCAAAATCTCCGACGTTTTCGCAAGCAGACAGTTTTGCACCTTCGTTGGCTGAAACGGTAATATGAGGCCCTCCTAGGTCCAGCTGCCCAGGCCCCCACAAGGGGGCGCTGCTCCAAGGAGATATTCAGTCCTGTACGACCCTGTATACAGCAAACATAAACCAAATAGCTGTATCCACATCCTAATCCCCATTGCCCACCCTCTGGAGTACTTAAAAAGCCTGTCTGAATGTCAGATTCATTAGGATTAACACTTGCAATGATCTTCTTTATTAAAAATCAAGAAGAACTTGTTTTAGATGACAGCACCTTCTTTGAAGATGACGCAAGATGTAATGACCTAGTTGGGCTGTAGTCAATTGGTCATTCGAGTGCGAATACTGACTCCACCTTCTGCAGGAAATGCAACGTTTCCCATATTCCTGAATGAATAGTCCGTCATCTTATCCAGAGACACCTGAGACACCAAAAACTGCAATGAAGGTTTGTTTCAGCAGGAAAATGCATTTGCCCTGGCATAGGGGAGGGACGGGGGGGCAGATGAGCAGAGTGGAGCGATTACTCCGATTCCTCCTTAGGCACTCGGAGAAGCTCACTCCTGTCTTTTTTACTCTCCCTCACTCGAAGCCTACGAGTGCAGCCAGCCATTACAGACTGAAAAGAAGATGCACGAAAGCATTGATAACAGAACTCCACTTCCTGAAGCGATCGGAACATCCTGTTCCACCGGAGGCAGAAACACGCGTGCGTGAGTGTTTACAGGCACACGTCTTCCTCTGAGGATGTGACGGACATGAGGACAAAAGCACGCAGAATACAAAACAGACACCAAAAACACAGAATGTCCGGTGACCGCGATGCACTGGGAACACACTGCTTCCAGGTTTGGGAAATCTGACTTAAATATAACTGTTCTCTGTGTCGACCCCGTATAACTGCATTAGCTGGAGTGTCACATCACCAAAATAAAGTTGTGTACACTTGTAAGCCTGGGTTCTGGGAGCAAATTACAGGCCAAACTACCCCCCCCCCTCCAGCCATAAAGACACACACACCTGGAACAGGGCGCTCCCATATCCATCGGAGCGCCGCTCCATGACCTGGGCCACCGTACCGGCATCACCAGGCTCCGGGAGGGTGGGGCCGCTGACACCCGGGTCCTGCCATCCGCCCAGGGAGCCCTGGGGCCGCCGGCTGAGGCGGCTCACAGTGCCGGCGGTGGGGGTCGCCAAGGTGGGGGTCGCCGCGGGGCTGAGGGGGGCCCCGGGGCCAAGCCTGCGCCCAGATGCCTCCACCACCGCGATGTCTCTGTTGGCACCGGTAGGGCGCCGGCGGGGGTCCGGAAAGCCCCGTCCCCTCCGCTTCCCCAGGAGTTTCACAGCCGCCGAATTTGGCTGAAGGAAAGGAGGAGGATCCAAAGGAAGATAAGAGGGTGGAGAGAGCGATCAGGCAGTGCCTCCATCCTTGGCGTATTTACCGAAAGCACGGCACGGCTCCCCCTCAGACGGGAAGGCGGCGGGCATGTGTAGTCACGTTGCACCCTCCCAGCCCCGCCGGAATGTTCTAGACAAATGGGTGCCAGCCTGCCGCCCAGGGAGGGGAAGCATCTCCATCTTAACGCTCTGCTGCACCTCGCACGAGGCACTCACGAGCCCACAGGCAGCCTGACTGGAGCACACACCCCCACCCCTCCCCACGTGGCCAGTGGCACTTGGGGGTGGGGGTGACAAGAGCAGGCAGACATCAGCGGCCTGCGTGATGTGACCTGATGGTTTCCTTAACTTCAGGTGAAAAGGCCTGTGTGTGTCAGTGAGGTGAGATCTGGCTGCTCCTCATCCAAGCGGCACCCGGCACGATCCGGGATGGCTGCTACTGTACTGGAGGAAACCTTTGACTACTACTACTCCCCTGAGTAGTTACTGATCTCTCCTGTCCCAGAGGAAACCTTTTACTTATCTATCCTCTCCCAAAGGAAACCCTTTACTGACCTCTCCTGTGCCACAGGAAGCCCTTTATTGACCTTTCCTAACCCATAGGAAGCCCTTTACTAATCTCTCCTGTCCCATAGGTAGCCCATTACTGATCTCTCCTATCCCATAGGAAACCCTTTACTGACCTCTCCTGTGCCACAGGAAGCCCTTTATTGACCTTCCCTAACCCATAGGAAGCCCTTTACTAATCTCTCCTGTCCCATAGGTAGCCCATTACTGATCTCTCCTATCCCATAGGAAACCCTTTACTGATCTCTCCTGTCCCATAGGAAGCCCTTTACTAATCTCTCCTGTCCCATAGGTAGCCCATTACTGATCTCTCCTGTTCCATAGGTAGCCCATTACTGATCTCTCCTGTTCCATAGGTAGCCCATTACTGATCTCTCCTGTTCCATAGGTAGCCTATTACTGATCTCTCCTGTCCCATAGGAAGCCCTTTACTGATCTCTCCTGTCCCATAGGTAGCCCATTTCTGATCACTCCTGTCTCTCCCACTCTCTCCTCCTCCACCCTCTCCGCTTCCCCTCTCTTCCTCCACCCTCTCCTCCTCCTCCACCCTCTCCTCCACCATCACCTCTTCCTGCCTCTCCTCCACCACTTCCACCTCCACCCTCTCCTCCTCCCTCTCCTCCTCCTCCTCCTCCCTCTCCCCTCTCTCCACCACACGCATCCCTGCCGCTCTTTTGAAATATCTCACGCTGAACTGCTCCAGACAGTTACTGGGTGTGGACACATTTCTCACAGGAGAACTCACAGGCAGGAGAGGTTGAAAATGCACTGAAGTGTGCAACAATAAGCACCAAGGGACAAGTATGAAGCTGATAAAATGTCACTGGGCCACATCGACGGCTACTGCGGCTCTGTCATTCACACAGCGATGTCATAAACATGGCATGTTAAAGAGGGTGGTCATAAACGCATCAAGTTGACCTCAAATCACAACGAAGCCTCATCAAATTCACGCAGCAGACCAAGACCATTCAGGGGGCTGAGAAATGTGGGATTCACATTCCCAAACACCTCGGCACTCAGACTTACCTCAGTGACCCGGACGGGGAAAACGCCGGTTTTATCTCCCAGCCGACCTTCCAGCCAGCTCTCATCCACTCGTCTTATTACAGTGATGATGTCGCCCTTAACGTCCATTTTCAGGATGAAAGGAGAAAAAAACAAGCGTCCATGTCAGGCCTTTAATGGAAATGATGGTCCCCCCACCCCACTAATAGGAGCACTCAGTGAGAACCCCTGGCATTAATGTCCATTGTGAAACGCCCCTCAGCACATGGCTCGCTCTCCCAGGTCATGTGACCATAACAAGCCTTAATGGAAACCACCGGCAGTGCTTAGACCCTAATGCAGACACATCCAACATCCTGCAAATCTCAGCCGTGAGCCGTCCTCGTGTTACACGCCTGTGCCAGAGGGTAGGTAGGGCTCTGATCGCGCCATGCAGGCAGACGTCACCAAAAGGGAAAGATGATCCCGTATCTAACACTCTCTCCCATAGCCTCGCTCCCCTGCAGCGTTGGCTCCGTCTCATACAGCCATCATGGCACCAATGACCTGATTCTAGGATACTAACCATCACACTGTCACGGTCATTCACACAGGGAACAAACACTTTCTCAGCTAGTAACAATCCATAGTCTGTTTGGGTTCATGGCGTGATGAAACCACGTATGGCTCCGGTAGTGGTAGCTAACCGTCGTTTGCCAGCACGTCTCAGACCAGGTACCCAGACAGACACGCACCTTGAGGAAAGGCAGCAGGTCCCTGCCGTCTTCCTGCACTTTCTCCTTGAGCCCGAAGTCATGGAGGGCACGACAGAGGGGCGGAGCCGGCTGCGTCTTTGCCGAGTCAGCGGGGGGTGGGGTGCCGTTGCCGGGAGGGTCTCTGTGGTAACTGTTTTTGTCGACCTTCCGCCGGGGAATGGCACTGTCGCCTGATTTAACACTGGACTCTTCTGGGAGGTTTCCGTGGTAATTATGTAAGGCCCTGGACCAGGGAACCTGAAGTAAAACGTAAAAAAAGAAAATGTCCAAAAATAAAATGCTTGTCAGTATTACACAAGCTGAGAGACGGGGGCGGGGCTAATGCGTAAGGAGCCTATGAATGAAAGGAGGACATTCCCAAGACACAAGTCAGCGAGATGCGTGACATCAACTGGAAACGTCAAAAGGGATTCTTCTTTGCCAATTTTAAAAGCTCCAATTTAGGATAAGATAAGAAGAACTTTATTTATCCCGAGGGAAATTATTTTGTCTTAAACATGCTCAGTGCAACAAGAGGAATAAAGATGAGACAGTAAAGAGCTTAAGAAGAACAGTAGTAATTGTGCAAAAACAGAATAACAAAATAAATCTTACAAAGTAAGCAAAGTTTCCCAATTGAGTCTTATGGTTGATGATGTGGAAGGTGGTTAAGACGTGTTAAACACCCCAGGAGGTCAGTGTTAAAAGGCTGGCCTATTTCCATGGGAGTGTTAAGGCGTTCAAGGTGCTGTAAACACATCCTGGGTCCTCGTCACGGTGCCTGATATCAACGGACTGATGCGCTTCTACTGAGCAGCGCAAATGCTAGATGTCCTGCACTAATACTGCAGAGCAGGTCAGGCCTGTTAGGCAGACAGCCCGTCTTAAAGAGCCCACCTGAGGCCACAGCATCATGTTCTGCAGCTATCCCACACATCCCATAATCGCGGGCATTACAGATAACTGGGCTGATCTGATAAGAGGCGTGTGGACAACAGGGCAGCCTGGCATAACAGGGCAGCAGGGAATCGCGTCTGGGATGCGGAGAGCTGCCTCCCTTTGGCATAACAGGGCACGGTGACCACTGGGGGGGGGGGCGCTGTGGCAGCCAGATGGAAAAAAGGCACTAAAATGTACACTTCTAGTCCTCAGCAGCAGCCTCTGAGAGAGAGAGTAATGTGATGTGCGTGCGTGTGTGTGTGTGGTATGTGCGTGCGTGTGTGTGTGTGTGTGCCTGTGTGTATGCGTGTGTGTTTCAGTCCTATCGATAGTATTTCCAAGTCTATCTACAGAACGTTCTCTTAAATTAAAAAATGCCAGAACAGGCAAAAACCTCACTGGTAAAATGTCAGATGGGTTTTTCTACATCGGAATGTAATTGACTCTTGTACCTTAGAGCACTGAACAAGCTGACATGTGAAGCACCGCAGAGAGATCAGCAGCACATCATGTAGTAAGATCCTGCTCATATCCGCAAGAGGTGTAATAGGACAAGTACTAGAAATGTCCAGCAGCAGGAGGAGAAGGGGGGAGCAGCAGGAGGAGAAGGGGGGAGCAGCAGGAGGAGAAGCGGGGAGCAGCAGGAGGAGAAGCGGGGAGCAGCAGGAGGAGAAGCGGGGAGCAGCAGGAGGAGAAGGGGGGGCAGCAGGAGGAGAAGCGTACTGGGCCGTGGCGCACGGCCGCATTTCAAAGCTCCTTTCAAGTGTTCATACTCCAGCGCTCACACGCAGGGCCTCTACCATCCATCATGCTTTGAGCGTCTTTCTGCAGGAATAAAGCAGCACGTCTCTCTTCCATTACATGGGGCTCACAGCTCCCAGTTTGCTTACAACCCCAGCAGCTCACATACAGGCTCATCCAGAAGCACCTTAACGTGCTTCATCTGATCCCATTTTTGGGAATCATCCGTGCCGGACTTGAGACGCTTGTGACACCAATCCGATGGGGCAGAGGCGGGGAATAGAATCCTATACCTGCCTCGCCTGCATGCAAGCTGTGCACCGTCCTCTCTTGATGTCTACAGGCACCCATCGTCACCCCGATCATCACACACTTCATCTTTAACTAAAGAAACGCCCCCAAGAAGCACTGGCATTTGTCACAGACCTCCAACTCGCAAAGCAACATTCGTAAATTACCTGGCAATAAGACCTTAACCAGACCACTACTGTGATAGATAAATGACTTTAATAAGAACGATTCAGAGATGGCACAGCACAAGCGAGTCCCACACCAGCATACTCATCAGCTCTGGGAACAGTGGGGACCTTTTGTTAAACAGAGTGAAGGTTTCTCTGTGCGTTTGGGAGAAACGGAGAAACTCTCAGCCCACATGAGTGCCGACGTGGGACTGTGTGTGTGGATTGTTCATTTATTGATTTGAGACCAGAAAACTATTTCTCATGCATAACGGTGTTAAGAATACCACAAAACTTACATCTGTGTCCTGATACTTTGATTAGGTTGCATTTATAACTGGAGACTTGAGCAGATGAAGACCAGATTCCATAAAAATGTCAATATTCGGTTACGAAATGGTTTTCAAGCTATTAAAAGGTCAAAAATAAACAAATTTTCCCCAAATAAAGGAAACTGAATAACAAGCAACCTCACCAAGGTAAACACTGAATAATTATGAATGCAGAGCCACAGGGGAACTGAGAGGAAGGCTTCCCCGCAGCACACAATGCTGCTCAGAGCCTCTTGCAGAGCCGGGGGGGCCGGGAGGGGGACACAAGCCATTGTCACGGACACACATAGCATGACTGAACGGCTCTTCTCTTCGCAGAACGCCAAAGCAATTTCTCACAACAATGAGCCTGCTGTTTTGCTATAGATTAAGCAAATTCTCTCTTTACACATAGTGCTACAAGGACAGAGGGCAGCTATGCATTTATTTAGCAAAGACCGACACGAAGTTACAGTACGAGGAAGCGGCTGTAGTAATGTATAATAAACGAACCTGATCTTATCCCACTCGTGGGTAGTGATGGAAGAAATTGGGCTTCAAGACCAACAGTGGGCGGGTCTGAAATGCCCTGTCAATCAGGGAGATTTAAGCCCCCACTGGTTACTTACGAACAGTGGGCGGGTCTAAAATGTGCTGTCAATCAGACGGATTTAAGGCCCTACTGGTTACTTAATTGCTGCCTGTTTGATTAAATAAGGCCTTGATGAACTGGGGTAGGTAACCCCACTGTCCCACCCCTTCTTTGGGGTTATGAGGCAGTCACAGCCAACAAAACTGGCCACGGAAGATCCACATCTAAATGGATACCTAATATGTACCACTGACATGGCTGTGCAGTTCACACCAGCAGGGCTGTAGGTTCGAATCCCACCTTCGCTCTGCATGGAGCCAGTTGTCCCTGCTGTCCAAAGACACATAGTTAGTCTCACTGCTGTGCCTAAACCGCCTATCAAGTATATGTGTGCGCGTGCGTGTGCACGTGTTCTCTCTGCCGCCTGAGACCGGCTCCAGGCCCTTCCCAGACCAGTAGGCCATAGACTCCTATCATCACCCTGATCGCCAATCTTTAACAAAGGAGTCACCCCTACGATGCACTGACATTTACCAAAGACCACCGACTCACAAAGCAACATTTGTAAATTACCTGGCAATAAGACCTTAACCAGACAAGCAGTGTGGTAAATTAATGATATTAATACGAACAATTCAGAGATGGCACAGCGCAAGCGAGTCCCACGCCAGCAACAGGATGTCCAGTTAGAAAATTCTGGAGAATCCCCGAGTGAAACATAAACAGGTGACACACATCCATACCGACAACGCAGGCAAGCAGGAGTCTGGAGTCGATCTCAAACGCTATGAGCACAAGGCACCGAATAACCCAGGATGAGGTGCCAACCAATCACAGGGCAATTTGGTGACTCCGGTTCACCTTACCATGTCTCCGCTTCATGGGGGAAAGCACCACAGGGAGAACATGCAAACTCTACGCACACAGAGTCAGGGTGGCGGTTCGAACCCTGCTTTCCATCGCTGTAAGGTGACAGCGCTAGGCGGTGCACCACCCCAGTGACCCACATCAGTCCCGAACAGCCCCTCCCGAGACGCCAGGTGAGCGCCTGCAGACACCGTGAGAGGCTGCACAACGGCATCCTTGTTGTTGGAGTGACAGACAGCAGCGTGATTGGAGGGCGGACAGCCAGCTACACAAACGGGAGGAACAACCCGTCCGTCCTGTTGGAAAAACGCACAGATGTGTACGTACGCCACTTCTGGGCCGGCACAACGGACAGATCTCTGCACAACGGCCTCAGCTCTCACCATTTTATTACGGTCACTGGTCAGACTCTAAGAGTATTAAGTTCTTTGCAGCAGTGTTTCCCAGTCCGGTCCTCCCCAGTCAGTCCACGATTTTGCTCCCTCCCAGCTGCAAGAATGTGGACTGTCTGCGACTCCCTGAACACCTGGCAGGGAAACGCTGCTTCACAGTTTGGGCTGAGCAGCGATGCAAAGATCCTCACTAACAGATCAACCACACAAATCAAAGGTCGTCAGCCGGCTTTCAAGCCTATAATTAAATGAGGAACACAGGCCTTGTACAGATCCAGGGTCGGCACCTTTCAGCCATAATTCTGTTTGGCGGAGCTACAGCGTTCAGCTTGGTGTGGTTCTGGTACAAGGTGATTAGAGTCAAGGGGTAAAAGCAGCTTGTGTTCAGTTCAGTGACTCATTACCGAGAGAACGAGGGATTAGAGGTGATTACTTGCCCTGTCAGGAGTGCTCTTACGCCCTTGTGCCGGTCGGGCTGCGGAGTAGCGAGCCTCCCTGCTTCTCCTTAGGGAATAATTCCGGGCCAAGTGGGGCCTGTTCCTGCTGCTCGCCCCCCTGGGGCCCCGCTGGAGGCCCTCGAGGAGCCGCAGCAGCAGGACGTTGGCGGGCAGCTCCTCCACACCCCCCGGTGCCAGCGCGCGGCACTCGGGGCAGCGCAGCTCGGGGCAGCAGCTGGCCAGCTTCCGCAGGCAGGCTTTGCAGAAGGTGTGCTGGCATGGCAGGACGCGGGCTGTCGCGTCCAGCGGCTCCAAGCACAGGGGACACTCCAGCAAGTCGAACACGGACAGCTCCTCCTGCATCTTCCCTCACGCCTCATGGATCACAGAGGCGCCAGCATTCTGGAGGAACAATTCAGAAACACTTTAAATATGCATTACATTACACACTGTCATCAGTTGTCAAGAATATATGTTTAGTTAAACATTCTGAAAGTCCTCCACTATCCATTAAAAGGCTAAGGTTTTAAGTGTTTCCTTGCTTTTTAACTGTTAAACATGGTTTAGTCCCAAATTTAAGACATTAATCTTTTATTTCTGCTTTAACTGTGTGTTTATACTAAATAATACATGACAAGTATCAATCGAGAAACGAACATCTCAAGGCTTCCTTCCCAACTAAAACTACTTTTATTCTGCTTAACACTGAGGAATCTGTCGCAGCCTACATGATTTGGCCATTTGGATGTAAACACAACACGCAAGTCAAACAGGAAAAACACACACACAATACAGACAAAACGTCCCAGGAAGACGGTCTGGACAATAACATGCACTTAAAACTACAAATTTTTATATTACTAACTTTTAAGGTCTCCTCAGGAGAAAGCTATGTCAGCCATTGCCGGTAAACAGGTGTCAGCATTTACGTGCGGGACATAGGAAGTAAAAGGGGAACAAGCCGCCCCGATCCGGATCTATGTACTCCGAATGAAATAATTTACAACTAAATCGGACGTTTGCCATCCAAGAGAGATCGGAGAAAATGATTTTATCCACATGCCCCTTGAATCAGGTGAGGTTACCCTGTGAGAAAGGAGAGTACACGGAAATCAGCGCGATCCCCCTCCGCCCCCCCCCCCGACAGGACGAACATAAAACACACATTACATCGTCTAGCACACTGGAAGCTGAAATCCATGTTTTATAAAATAAAACTAACCTTGCCCTCTCGTCGGCATGCAGCTCAGACAATAATCTCCTCTTCGAAGCGGACAGTTCAAAAACTATGCGCTTAATCACAAGTGTCAACTTACAGGCTCGCGATGCTTAACCCTTAAGTGGCTGCGGGAGTCAGACCGGGGCACAGTGAGATCTGCGCAATGCATGCGGAGAAATGCATGTGCAAAAAGGAAAAGACGTAAAAGCGGCTAGTCTACATCTTTGCACCACAGTGTATTACCTTGAGGTGTTTAGCGTAGGCCTATGTTTAAATATTGAACCCTTATGGAAAACATTGAATAAAAATGACATTTGGCAATTGAATAAAAAAATGAACAGCGTATTATGCTCAGTCCATGTTATAAATATAAATCCGTCGTTTTCAACCCGAAAAGAACAGCACTGAATATTGATGAACCATTCACAGGGCTGAATATTTCACTAAAGTGATTTCAGGTGAGACGTGCAACCTTATTGTATGTGGGCCTGTAGAAAATGGCTGGCGTATATAGTTCATATTAAATACGTTGATGGACAGCAGGGATATTTGGTGGTTGAGCACTGAGTTTCTAAGCTCAGGTCAGGGGGCAGACCACTACAGGACAAGCTCTAAGCATAAAAGCTAATAACAGCCCAATTGCAATCATTTGCGGATATTACTGAACATTGCAATGATTTTTTTTTTTTTACATAGAATGGGTCTGTAAACAAGTAAGCTGTGAAATTAATTTGACAATACTGAACAATAAGCTGAATATTTTGCGGGATCACCCGACCCTGCGTGTTGCGGCAGCTTGGTGATATGGATTTGATTATTTTTTGAAAGCGAATCAAATACACAATCAAATGCAATTTTGAAGTTTCTGTATATTCACTAATACATCCATCTTGGAATTTTTAATGCAGGCCTATTGGTTATTTTGTGATGTACAACAGCAGGGCTATTCAATTCAGGCCCTCGATTCGAAATCCAGGCCTTGTTTTCAGTTCTCCCAGGTAGTTAGTTTAATAATTACTGATTCTGATTGGTCAGAGGCTTCACACCTGGCTCACAGGTGAAGAAAGGCTGGAAAACCAGCAGGGCTTGGCCCTTGAGGACCGTGAGTTGAATAGCCCTGTGCTACAGTCTGTGTGGCAGTAACAAAGAGTTACTGTTCTTTTGGTTTTATCCAATATCCTAAATGCAACCCACTTAAACCCCCCAGAGGTGGTAATATTATAAATGTATCACTTGCAAACGCATGAGCCAAGTGCTCATGAAAGAGGCGGCGTTTGTTTTACCTGTACCGCAGCCCGAAAGCAGACGTCTCTGTATGCGCAGTTAAAGCCTGCATTAATGGCCCTGGATATGTCTGCGTATTCAGGTGCACGTCCGCCCTCTAGTGGACTGAAGGCGGCACAGCTTCGACTGCACGTTTCGTAAGGTGGTGCGTACAGCCGCCCGCGTGTGCAAAGGGTTATTCCCGGCGCGGAAACTCTAAGGAAGTTATCTTAAATGCCTCTTAAATGCATCGAAGTCAAAAACATGTGACTGAAAAATGCCGTGACCAATAATTTCTGTCGAACCTTGTCTACTGCTTTGCTTTTGTACCTAGTCTTGTGTTTTTCGAAGCATATAAATAATCAACATAACTAACGAATCTTGATGGGTTGTCTCATATCCCAGTTGCAGTTTGTTTGTTTGTTTATTTGAATGTAAAGTCAGATGCAATCAATAATTTTCCACAAGGAGCGAAATTCTTCTCCTGCTGACGCTGGATGTTTATGATCACTGCTTCAGTTAAATGACACGGACTCACAGCGCTTTCGTTGTGAAGTAGTATCGGCACAGGCAATGGCAGAGCGAACACATCTGGCCGAGCGAGGTAACATTGCAAAATATTTCACTTCATGTCGGTTTAATGGAATTAATTTTCTTATATCTGCCTGACAAAATAATGAATTAGAAATATAAGATATATGTGCAGTCGAATTATAATGTGCTTCAACTACCCATGGCGCAGTATTTTAAGCAATGGAAACTCGGCTTAATCGTTTGTGGAGATGGCTTTAAGAAGCGTGTCAGGGAGTGTCTTGCGAATCGCTGCTTTACTGTAACATTACAGACGGCAGCCTGATTTCACGCTGTACAATAAAAGCCACATTTTACAAGCTTTGACTGAACTACAAATACGCGATGGGTCCGTGCGGTCAGATCACGCGATATTTTAGGAGAACTTGGCCTGGCGTCTTACTGTGGCAAGTTCACGTTACAAAGCCAATACTTTCGGTATTACACCTTTCTAGATATATTTAAGAAATTATTAGAGTTGTTCCTGTTATTAATATGCAAAAATGGTTATTACGATCGAAATAAGAAAAATGTACAGATACCCCTTTGAGCGCGTGGTAGACATGCATCTGAACAAGGTAAAGTGTGACTCGCTGCCAGTCCGTAGTGCTGTGAATGTCCACATGTGCAACTACTCCAGGTACTTTTAATAGATCAGAGTGCAAATGTGAAATAAAATAAAATGCACTCCGCTTATTGAAGGGCACTTCTATTAAATTTTTAAAAACACCTCAGTTTTCAACTTTAAAGAAAAGTTAACTGAGTTGTACAACCTGTTTTAAAGTGTCGATATAGATGAAATGTTTTAAGGCCAACAGAATACAATGTAATGACAAAAACAAACCAGGTCGGTTTATTCTGGTTAATTTTTAGATTTGTGCGTATTTTACTCATTAATCATATTATGTACTAATGGTGGAACTGTTTAGTAGTCTTTGTATTGTACTGTACTTTACTGTAACGGGGTTATTTTTAAGACGAGATGTCCGATGTTAAAGGCTACGCCGCATAGGCGCGTCTGTCTTGCCGCACACGGACGCTCACCTCCGGCTCTCCGCGGTAACGGGACCGGGACCGGGACCAGCGCGAAGTGGCCTGCCTGGTTATGCCGGGCACCTCACCCGATCAGTCCGTACTTTTTGCGTATTCATCCCTGCATTTGTATGCGATCGCCAGCATGGCTGATCCTCCAGTCCCTTCCCTGCAAAAATAACCTTAGATACACCTTTTCAGATGGTCACTTTACTGTCAGTAATTTTGCTAGAAATACAGGAAAAGATGCGCCCCTTCGCCCATGCAGCACGATAAGCATGCCTGTAAAAATGCGCTTTATAAACGTTAGCGATCCAGGCCGTTCACGCTAAATAACAATACAACAGTCACAATTTACGGCATATAACTGGGGACGCAAATGTGTTATTAAAATAAAGCATCTTAACGTTGTATTTCATCGTGTTTTCTCCAAAACTTGTACACTGCTAGTGGACTAATAGGTAATTGCCGTATGTATAAGCAGTGAGTCTTCATTGCCCCCGCTGGATGAATGGTTATTAGACGAACGGATGGCTGACTATTTATTTTCATAAAAACAAACGTTAATTCAGTGTTTGCGGATAGTGCATGTGATGAGATTCCTAGGTCCCCAGGCCTTTAAGGAGCTGTTTAACTGGTATTTATCCAGTTGGTTGACGATCATCACCTTCTCTCGCAGCCATGCGCCTCTGTTGTGGTCTCTCAGGTGTTCCCCAAAGTACAGCATCCTTTGCTGTTTTTCCTATCCTCATTGATCTATAGGGTTTTTTTATTATTATTATTATTTTCTGCTTGTAAAAGGTGACATTTATTTAAAACGAGTAATTACCTAATTAGCACACTACCTCAGTGGCACTGAAAATCAGCAGCTCTTGCGTAAGCTGTGCACCTGAGTTTGCATGCATCGTATTTTAAAAAGTAATGTGACTCTGCCACAGGAATCAGGTTGGACACGATGCCTCAATGTAGCTGCCTTCAGAAGTGTGTAGAGCTTCCCCTTCAGCAGAAGAGTCAAGTGTATATCGATAAAGAGGCCCTCGTTTGTGGTGTCTCCTGGCCACAATCACGGGATGGGGGAAACGGCATGTTTATTTTACAGTGAATGCAGCGTGTAAGATTGCTGTTAAACTGAAATGTTTGAGCATGACTGCAAGCAGTGCAACAGTCTGCCTGGACGGGGTTTGATTGCATGAGATGCTAAACGGTGCTCAGTATGCATCACCTGGCACCTACTGCGCATGTCAGAGACAGATCCTCCCACAGAGAAACGGAATCCCTGGCGAGACCCAGACAGCTACGCTTACAGAATCAGTGGCCACGCTTGTTTTGTCCTGTTCATTTAAAGTCAGGCATCCCTTGTTAATTGCTTGATATCTGGCCTTAGATGCAGCTTCCAAATCAGAGATGGCTTTGCTTACATCCCCCACCCCCCGCCATCGCCCAGGAATGAATTATTCATCCACTTTTTGCTGTAGACAGAAAGTTTAAGACATCCATTTAAATTTTTAAGAAAGCGTTAAACTTTCATCTCAGAAAGCCGCCCATAGGACGTGCGTTTTAGAAGCCCAAAGTGAGTCTCACCGTGATTCATGTGTGTTTTCTGTGTGAACGCGGCACCCGTCTGCGTGGCAGTACCCGACACCTCTCGAGCAGGATGTGAGAGGCATCAAGACGGTGGAGGAGAAAAGAGGTACCTGTCGCCTTTGTGCCAAAACGTACATCAAAGACAAAAGCGCCTTTGTGTGGTATAGACTTTGTAGCGCATGTTTCCAGCTAGAGGGAGCTAGAGAGAGTTAGGTAAATATAATCTGTAGTGTTTATAGTCAAGGTACAAAAACAAACTATGAAAATAATAACAGCTGATGTATTTACCATATAGACATTTCTCAACCCAGTCCTGGGGTCCCTCAAAATGTCCACATTTTTGCTCCCTCCCGGCTCTGAGCACACCTGTACCTGGTGTTCCATGTTCTTGATTGCTTGATTGATTGGTTCTGGTGCACTGGGATGGAGCAAAATTGTGGAGCGTCTGGGGGGGGGGGGGCAAAGAAAAACACCGATACGGATGATTAGCGTTTTTATATAGCGCTGTGTGCAGTTCTGAGCTCCAGGAGTCAAGTTACAAAATAGAAAAGTCCTTTAACCGCGTTGCACTGGCTTTTTCCTTTCAGATCATGTTTCCGGGATTGTTTACAGAAAGAGGATAGCGGTCTGCAATAACGTACTGCCCAGCATCCTCAGAAAGGTCTCCGCTCACCTGCACCACATGGACACACTTTCCTGAAAACATCAGTCAGACAGACACTGCCCTTCATCATTTTAGAAGCTCACATTCTGCAGTATTAAAATGTGGTTTAGCCACAGAACAGGGCTACTTGTTTGTAAAGATTACCAAAGCCATAGTGTTCTGTAGATAGACCTGTGCTAAGGTGCCTAGTGATCTGGAACTATGCACATCCCACACCTTTCAAGGGTTAGGTTAGGCTTAGGTTAAGTTAGGGTTAGGGTTATGGTTAGGTACCCTGGTGTCCATGGTAACAGTTGCCCGGTATCTTGTTGAGATGTTGGCAGTCGGCCACTGGAGGATGTTGTCTTGTAGATGCAGTGTCCTCACGCCAGCGTGGCGTCCAAACCGATTGCAGTTTGACGGCCTTTGCGGGCCACTCCTCAGCCCCTGGTGTCTGCTTGACCTGCAGCTGACCGTGATGGACGTTGACGACGTCTTTCTGGAAGAGGAGTCCTGGCTGGACCTGAAGCAGAAGACCATGAACATCAAGAGCCGCTGCTTGACCTGGACTCAGTTCGCGACCTTGCAGGAGGTGTCCGTCTTCAAGGAAAGCCCAGCTAACCCCAACTGGTATGTCTGCCGTATCACTGGTGCTCATCTCCACATTTTCATGTACTTGTTTGGGTTGTTATGGTAAAAAAAAATTAAATTCTGTGTGATATTGTCCATGTTTTTCCTGGGTCGTTCATGCACAGCGGTATAATCAGCTTTATTTATGGATTTATGTATTTTTGCTCCTCAGGGCTTTGAACTTCATTAATCGTAATGAATTTATTTTGACATTTTGTGCCGTTCTCGATCCATTTCACGCTGGGGGGATTTGGCATTTTAAAGAGAAATGCGTAAGGAGTCTTTAGCCCTCTTCTGAAATGTCAAAGGTGTCTAATCGCAGTGGATCCTGTGGGAATGAAACACTGTATTGCATGGCTCGTGCACGGCATGTAGCCACATAACATTTCACTTATGAAAACTAGTCGTAAGTAGTAGGCAGTGATGGTATTTGGCTCACTGCATTGTTAGAGATGTACACAATCTGCTGTATTTCACTGGATCATCTCCGTTCGCCTTCCTGTCAGCCTGGGATTACAGGCACAGACAGAAGTTGTTTAGGCCTTACTTTCTGCAAACCCTGCTTTTCCCACATGTAAGGCGCTCACTGTGTCTTTGGCAGGGAGGGAGACAGATTTGATGCTCTGGTTTTTGTTGCTGTCCGATGAAAACTGCATTTGTCACGATGGACAAAAACTGGGCTTTGTCCTCTAGGTGGAACATGCCTGTTCTCTGCCTTTTGATGGCGTTTGAAATGTAATAACCAATGAAAAGATGTTTTATGAAGTCATCTGTTTAACTAGCATTTGTGTTTGTACTAGTTAATGTTTGTTTTCACGATGGTCGTTTGTATGAATTACTTTACATCGCTTTCAACAACTTAACGTCAATAGCTAGATACCTAGCTAACTAACATCACTGATGATTGTGAATGTAAACTGAGATTAGTTTGTATCTTGTAAATATTGAAACTGGCAACATTTAGGTTTCTATTTGTGGTGTTAAGGGTGTCGCATTGCGTTGTTTTAGGTTTGTTTTGTAAAGTAATTTCAGAGAAAATGCTTTTTTTTTTTACTAAAATAATGGATTTTTGGAGATACTTGCTTTTCATTGGACTGCGACGTTTTGTAATTGTAATGTTACAGTTGTAATTGTAATGTTACAGTTGTAATGTCTCAAAGTGCTGAAACCCTTCTAGCAGTTGGTATCCTTTATTTAATTTTCTTCCCAAATATAATTTTATTATGCTATACATGTGTTTCGTTATGCATTAATTTGATTGATGCTTGAATATGGGTCTGTTTTGAGGGCTTGTGTTGTTACTTTAGCACACAGAGTATGTACTGGTGGGCATAATATCTCAGTATCAGTGAAACGTCCCAGGCTGTAAATCCAGTACGGCTGCAGGAGGGCAGTGGTTTTGCGGTCGAGTTACATACCTGACAATAATGCGGCCTCACGTCAGCCCGCCTCAGCCGTGAGCTCTGATTTCGACGTTCCCGATATCTCTCCCGTAGCCCGTTGGGCTAAGCTGTCCATGGGGGGCGGAGCTGGAGAAGCAGTGAGTGTGGCGGCCGGTCAGGATGGTGGGATCCCCGAACAGGTTGCACCGTCAGCCGTACGCTGCGCCCCGCAAATGCCCTCGCAGGAAATCCGAGGAGCCGATCTCCCATGTGCAGCCGCTTCAATCGTGTTGTGTAGACAGGATGCCGTTCTACGAGGGGTAGGCGGGGGGTCTAACTCTTTTCTTTGTTTTGTATCTGCCTTGGAATCCTTCGGGGGGAGGGGGGGGGGTGTCTTGTGAGCGAGAAAGCATCCGCTGTAACACTGACTGGACGGACAGGCTCAGCGCAGGGTGGACTCTCCTCAGTCTTCTGCCGCTGAGTTCTGGAAGCTTCTGCCACGACGTCTGTGAGCCTGAGAAGCTACGCAGGTCTTAGACTCTTATCACTCCCAAGAAGGCTCACGGTGGGCTGTGAGGCCTCCGGGGGGGGGCGGGACACCCCCAAATCTGAAATGCCTCTGCACATACGGGGGCTTGTCACCCTTCAGCCATGGCCAGTAGTTTTGTATTTCTGCGAGGCTTTTTTATAAACTAATTCACTGTGTTTGTATCCGTAGGGTCAGAATTCATAAACAGTGTTGACCTCTGTCTGTGGCTTCTGCGCATCTGAAGCTTTACAACTGTTGACTGTTGAGATGGGGGGGGCAGGAGTTTGTTTTAAAGTCTTTTACCTTCAGTGATCTGATGACAGTGTTGCAGACGTGAACTGTCCTCACCATGTTCCCTGCACATGTGTCCTAATAACACCGGCATAGTACGGTGGCCCATGAGGAGCAAACCAAGATGAACACAAGACTGTATTCCTCATCCTCTTTCTTTAGACCCGTTGGTTCCTCCAGAAAACAGACATTGTTGTATAATATTAACTTAAACCCGTGCAACCTGTCTTTACATTTCTTTAGTATAGACTTTGACCTGACTATTTATGAAATAGTATGATATATCATGAAAATAATAAGCTGCTGTGGGGATAGTGCTTTTGGAGGGACAGGCAAAGGCATGACGGAGTTCCTTTGTCTGAGATAATCTTAGGTGGACTTCTGCGCACTGAGAAGTCGCTTTTGAGCGTTGTGATCTGACTTGATGTCAGCTTGCGATGTAGGTCTGTCTCAGACCAGCCTGAGTTGAAGTCGACCACCACCAGCTAACGTTGGCCCTTCCTTTCCAAGATATCGGGTACAACAGGCGACTAGGACAGGTCTGAAGCGGCATGCAATCGAAATGGCGCTATTTGTTGATGTGGCTTCAGGCTGTTGCTTACTGATGGCTGGAACACAAGCTCTGCACTTTTACGTTCCATGCCAGCATGTCCTCATGCAGACTTTTTGCAGGGATGTGGGGACCCCGACCTTTGTGCCTTTCACCACAACTCCGCCTCCCTCTCTAGAAGATTCATCTCTGTATGGAAAATATTGTAGGATAGGATCCCAAGCTGTGTGCCCTCTCAGCTCACTGAGCCTGGATGGCGACCTCAGAATTAGCCTCTTCATAACTCTGTTGTTCTCTGCCTTTCCGTTGGGCGCACAGTAGCATATCGGAAGGATTTGTGTGTTTTGCGAAGTTGTTGTTCTGCATCATGCACTGGAGCCTTCGCTGGAGCTGTATAGATGGGCCTGTGAAGTATCGTAACCAGTAGTTGATGATCTGTTTCTATGTGTGTAGGATCTGAATTCCTCTTATGCGTTGCCACCATTGATGACATCCTTTCAGTAGGTCCTGTAACTGGAGTGAGAACACCTAAGTTGACCATTCTTTCTGTTTTCACATTGTCTTTTACTGCTACTGAAATCTTGATAACCGGCTTGAAAACAGGATGCATGTCTTGGTGAGGTTTCATTGAGTAGGTGACTGGGAATATGCCCAGCCGATCAGCAAAGGGACGGGCATCATCATCGTAAATTGCTTGTTGGTATTCCTTGCCACCTGATGGACCTCGATTGGTTGTAATCAAGGGCGTTGGTTTGGATCCAACACTAGTAGGGACCAAATCAACTCCACCCCCAAACTCCCAGAAAATGGGGAGAGGCGTGTCCCTACCGTCTGGACCCAAATCTACATCCTTGAGTGTAATCAGTCCAGTTGGGTAAGGCTAACCAAGGCTTTACAAATGAAAGGCATGAACTTGATGTGATGAGTGGCAAGAGAGCGGGATCTAACCTAACGTCTGGATTTCTTCTTCGCCATAGGCTGCGAGCTTCATGTGTTTCGATGCGTTTTCTTCCCATGTGTTGCTCCCTTCACTGGAATAACATTGCACTTGGCACCAGTAGCTCCTTTACGCTCAACTGGTTTCTTATTGATGCGCACTGTATAGAACAGGGGTCCCCAATTATTCTTTCCAGAGGGCTGAATTCTATCACCAACACAAAGCCAAGGGCCACTGCACCAGATATTGTTCTGTTATGCCAACTGAAGCTGTTATATTTGCAGATAAAAATTGCTGAGGGGGGTGGGGTGGGGTGGGGGGATCGGTGCTCACTGAGTATAAAATTTGCCAAGTAGGGAACACGTTATGTGCAACTCTCACCGGCCATCTATTGGCGAATCCTGGTGTAGACTAATTCTGCCCGCTATAGGGATCTTCGCATTTTCTCAAAGTGATTGAACTTGCTTGCAGGCTAAACCCGTTTACCTTGTCGCTTCATGCTTGCCACCACAATTGTTGCGATTGACAGTAAACTGTGATGTTTTGTGATCAGCCGTTTGTTTCAGTGACACGTTTTCATAACATGGTGCATGCTGTCTACATTAGTGTTTTGCAGAGCTGCTGGAAGATCTGCAAATGCGTTAAACTAGCACAATTTACAATGTTTCGGCCAGTGTTATGTAGTAGGAATTTTCTCAGATTCCATCATTTACAGCACCGCATACTAGTTTGTCTCTGAACTCACGAGTGCAACATCTGCATGCCATTGCTTTGTTTCTTAAATCACTCACATAGGCTTCCGTTTTTCACCAGGCTTTTGGTTATCTTTGCTGAATTTATGGCATCCCACAGTAAAGTGTATTTGTAGGTTGCATAGTTTGCAGAATTCTCATTTTTAAACATTCCGGGTTCTCTCTCAATTTGGTCTCTACGATGGTGTGTATTCACTCTACTTCTCCTGCGAACACAGCAGTTGCATTCACGAATGCACAGTCGCACTCGATAGCTTCAGAGCCGCTGTTTCAGTGTGATCATGGATTCTGACGCAGGCGTTGTTCCCGGAGGGCGCGGCTGCTATAAATATATCATATTCTTGCTCAAACACACACCACTTCTCACTGATATTTCCATCAGACACTAATGGATCAAGTTTACAAAACTCTCCTCCCGTGTTCCTTTCTTTATGATAAAAAATAATAATAATCCACCATACTGAGAAATAAACAGAAGTAGTAGCTTTTGCTACATTGGCTGGAAAGGGTCATTTTTAGTGTGGAAGCCTTTGCCAAATTTCTCTCTTTTCCTTTACTCAATCACCAATGTAGTGGATCAAATCAACTTCTGACACCCTGATGAATGTTAGACAGGAGGCAGGGATTTGTTTTAAAGTCTCTTAACTTCAATGAACTAATGACAGTATTACATAAAATTACCGTCACAGTCATAGCTCTACACATGCACACGAATAATTCATGAGTAGCCTATTGGTACCAAATCATGATGAACACAACATGCTGTTCTACAAAAACAATGTCTCTTTATTCAGTCATGGTTAGTTTCGGGTTTGTTCCTTCTTTCGGATGCCTTTGCCCCTTGTTTGACACGTTACGTGCTTGCTGTGCAGGACGGAGTTCTTCCAGAAAGGCAGTGTTACTGTGACGGGAGTGGGACGACTCAACAGGCTGTTTGAGCTCTTTGCTCAGTCCTTCTTCAGCAAAGGAGTACAGAAGGTAAGACGTGACCTGGAGCTCGTGTCCGTCTGGGTGAATCAGGCCTGCCGGGTTTCCACTGAGAAGACGTGGTCCGGCCCGGAATCGAGGACAGCACAGTGCTGACCTTCTGAAAGCAGGAGTACAGGTTATGATGACACTGTGATGATAGTGACACACTCCCTTGACGTATTTACAAAGTCCCTAATGGAATTAGATCAGCCTGAAAACCTTCCAGAACATTCACGTCAGGTTTGACAAATGACTTCATTACACAGGATTGCCTGAGAGCCTCCAGGAGACTCAGATCCTCACTGCTGTGTTAGTGTCAGCGCAAACTCCCAACACAATCAAGGAATCAGCCAGCACACAGCAAGCTAAATGTTAAGGCATCTTTTCTTGATAAAGCTGTAGTGTTTACCTATGACCATGTTAATTAGTGGCCAGACTGGTAAGTTTGTGAGCCACACAGAATCCATTCATTAGTTTTGTATTATAGTGTAACGTCTAATTCCACATCAGTATGAAAACAGACTAACAATGACCAAACTATCACTGTAGTGTAAAATGTGTATCCCAGGCTTAGGGTTAGACACCATAAACGTACAGCCCTCCTCAGAGGGATTTGGAAAAGCCGCTGTTTATATACATGGCTTTGGTCCTAAGGTTCAAAGGTACCTCCTGCTATTGATCTGAGACGCTTTCTGCAGGTAACGCCTCACTGAACCGCAGTCAGCACCCATCTCAAAACTCCATGCGGCAGCAAATGATTGCAGGTGTCTTACTGAGAAACATTTCTATTGGCTAATGCCAGTTTAGTCCACTCTCCATCCATTCAGGTTGTTCTTCGCAGTTTTTTTTTAAACTCAAAACATACATTTTCGTATTTAACAGACACTTTTATCTGAAGTGACGTACAGTTGAGAAATCGGTGTCAGCCAGTCCCTGGGGCGATTTGGGGGTGGGGGGGGCGGATGGTGACATCATCACCCTGGGAACCGGCGAATGTCCAATCACAGGCATAGGGTCCAAAGCCACGGAGCCATACCACCCCACCATTTTAAAACAGTCAGCCTGGGCATGCTGGGTAATAGGGGTGTCTGTTTTCAGGGTTATGAGAACTACTTGTATTAAACACCACTCTACAATGTAACTTACAGTAATAGTTACATTTGCGTAGTTTCATGGTTTCATTATTGACACACATCGGCCCTAATCTGTGTAATTTCATCACGGCTTCATATAATGTGGTCACAATTAGTACCATTAAACTGCTGTTAATTACTCAGTGATGGACTCATCATAACAAGCTCCTCATTCCTGAACCTCTTGGCAAGTTAATGGGACTGTCATATTCCCATGCAAATGACACTTATATATATTTTATTTCAAGATTAGACTAGACTGGCATGTAATATAGTTTCTGTATGAAATTGGTAACTATTGATTTTATTTAACATGTTGCTAAAATGTTTAGCTTATTTGTTTTTTGTTCTAGATTTTCTAGCCAATATTTGTTGGTTTTTTTAATTGGTATAATTATTCAGTTTAGTAATTTGTTGGTAATTGTAATTCCATGACACCGCCATCAGCTCACCTGGTCCTGACTCTTTCGCAGTTTTTGACTCTGAGTCAGTGATGCAGTCACTCTCATGATCATTTTCCCTTCGGCCTACACAATGAGGCTTCCAGAGGGCCATGCCCTGTAACATCTCCATCTTTTTAAAATGAAACAAATGTGAAACAAATGTCTTCTATTGATCCGAGTGCTGCAGTAATGCAGCATTAAATGCCTGGTCGCATTCAGTAGACGTCTTATCGCAGTTCGATTTAAAATGACTTGCGAGCACCCGAATCGCACAGGGACGCTGATGGCTGAGTGTGAGAGGAAGGGTGCTAGGTAAACCACACCACAGCCCTCAGAAAACACAGCATCTCCTTTCGTTTTGAGACTGCAGTTGGCTTGAGGCAGCAATTAACCCAGAATAATCGGTAAATTGCTTCCTTTTGTTTGGGATCTGGGAACCTGAGAGTGCCTGAGGCCACAGTGGGGCAGCTGGAGACTGACTTATTTTCCAGGAATTTCATGTTTTGAGGGTTTGGGGTGGAAGGTGTGTTGGTTGGGGGTGACAGACAGACAGACAGACAGACAGACATGCCGGAGGTTTGGGCAATAGACAGACAGACAGACATGCCGGAGGTTTGGGGCGACAGACAGACAGACAGACATGCCGGAGGTTTGGGGCGACAGACAGACAGACAGACAGACAGACATGCCGGAGGTTGGGGGCGACAGACAGACAGACAGACATGCCGGAGGTTGGGGGTAATAGACAGACAGACAGACATGCCGGAGGTTGGGGGTAATAGACTGACAGACAGACATGCCGGAGGTTGGGGGCGACAGACAGACAGACATGCCGGAGGTTGGGGGCGACAGACAGACAGACAGACATGCCGGAGGTTGGGGGCGACAGACAGACAGACAGACATGCCGGAACAAACACAGGTGTCCCTAGAATGGAGCAGGAGCTTCTCAGGAGCAGCATCACGGCGACAAGGTGCAGCTAGAATCACTATGAATCACCGCAGTGGCCCGACTCTCCCCTAATCCCATAACATCTCTTCATCTTTCATTTTGCTGCTGAAATATTGCGGTTTGCGAAATAAATAGACTGCAAGAATAGGGCTTTCTTCAGGATTACCATCTTACATAAAGGCCAAAGGGGATCTTGGCATATGTGAAATCACAGTTAAAGCCTTGCCTGAGCATTACTAAGAGCTCGGCTGCATCAAACACCAGCATGCTAAGTCGGTATTTAGGGCTTGAACATGCCGGAGAGTTCTGGAAATGCACTGGAATAAGGTCTTTAATTTATAATGTGAGGGTCATGTGCCTTTCTGCAGAGTTATGGAACTGCACTTTGAAAAACGTCAAATGTAAGTCAACGTGTATAGCAGCAGTGCAGTCTTGCCGGACCTGTCTTGTCTCCTGTTGCTATGGCTATTCTCGGGTGTGGCGGGGGACTCTGGGAAGGCCGTGGAAATCGCCACTGACAGAGTTGGCTCTGCACCAGCTGAAATCTGATTTTCCATAACGTGTCTGAATTAGCGTGGCATTGCCGCTCCGCGCGTCTACCTGGTCGCGCTCGGATGGCTCACGCCAGAGTTACTGAAAGAGAAACTCACCATGGATTTCTCTAACTGCCCTGCTTGCAGGGGAATCACCCTCCGCATTAAAAAGGCTCCTGCAGAGCTCACCTGATTCCTGGTGGGTTTGCTGGGACTGAGTGATGTTTCTGTGCTGCATGCTGGACATTAATGTAGCTCAGCTCCAAGGTCACGAGGCTTGATGTCCACAGTACTGACGGCATCCCTTCAACCAACTGACTACCACATTAAAGCTCTAGGGTCTGTTTCTGTTGTTTTGTCTGTTTTACTCATTCATTGTGTCATAAATGGAATCAGGAGCCAACAAGGTTTACGCGTATAAATGAAACAACAAGCTTGGGTCTGTCTAGTTAACTGGATTCTTTGAACAGGGATTAAATGAAATGAACTAGACGTTCACCCTCTGAACATGAGATCGGTCCCGGCAACGCAGTGTCTGACAGTGGGTCTGTGTCCAGCCTGAACGCTGTGTGACATCGTCTTGGTCTCCGTGACACTAACATAGAGCAGAATAACTTCCTCTATCAGCCTACAAGGTGGCGCTAAGGATTCATCATTACTGCCCCAATTGATTGGTTCTCTGTGTAACGATGAAGTGAAAATATCAAACTGTGGATTAATTGCATCTGGCCATTTAATCGCTTTAAATTAAGTGTATTAATTCCTTACTTTTCTGTGAAATGTGAAGAAACATGAACCAGCTCTTGCCCCTGTACGTGCTCTGATTTTGTGCTCATAAAGCAGTCATACATCACCCAGTCCCTTCCATCTATCTGTCAGAATGGGCTGGCAGTGTCTCGCCGGACAGAAAATTCAATCAGATCAGCCTGGGTTGGTGTCTCTCTTTACTCTGTGGATGGTGTCTTGGATTCAATGGACAGTCTGCAATAAATTGTGTCTCCAGCTTATTTTTTTACCTATTTGCTAAGTTTCGTAGAGCTCAGGAGATGAATGAGTCCATTACAGGCTCGTTGTCAGGGCGACATCAGAGAGTTTGCGTCTTCATGCACCTGTTTGCTCTGCTGAGACACGGTGCTCCGAGGCATGCAGTCACGTGTGTCTTGTGAATTAACATAAAAACTAATTAAATGTATAATTATGGTAAAAGAATGCAAAGCACTGATTTTAACTGAAGGTTAGAAATGGAAACCACACGCGTGGGAGCAGACAGCTAGTAAAGATGTCATCATCTTCAAGTCCACACAAGTGGGAAGGTATTAAACATCCTGCACGTCATAGTTTAATGTTATTTCTTTGAGTTTCATTTGTTCATTTTCATCTGCTCAGTCCTTTGCTAGTCTGTGAATGTGATTGGCTATCGGTCACATGGCATATAGTCATGAGGCGAACGTGCTGTAAAACATTAGATTAAAAGCCCTCTCAGCTTCTCGGGAGGTTTTGACCCCCGTGGTGCTTGAGTGGTGCTTCAGTAACCCTGTTCTCTCCTGTTTTCTGTACTAACGTCATTTTCCTTTCTAAAATCCAAGAGCGTGCAGGTCATGGAAACTATCCTGGAGCAGAAATTTGGGCATCCATGTTCCTGAAATGCTGCCATTTGGGAGCCAACGTCTCCTGTTCCCCGAAGAGGATATCTTAAGAAGAATCGCTTCTTCAGTTTTTAAATGATGCTGACGTACGATGTCACTGATCTCGAAGTTTGGGAATTTTTTTACTATAAGCCATGTGTCTGATGAATACACAGCCATTTTCTCACGGACACAGGTGCTCGACCATCATGGATGTTAATGTTCTCTAGGTGTTTGCTGTGTTTCCTGCAGTCGCACGTTTGCTAACACCTTTAGCTAATCTTATCCAAATAAAAAAGTGTGCATATACATATTTACACGTTTAAGAGTTATACTAGTTTCACTAGCATTACCTATAACTGTTAATCTGCTAAAGAAATACAGAAATTCACAGAGGAAATTGAAATGAACAGGTGGCCAATGTGTCTCATTCCAAGGTTCCCATAATCCAGGGACGTCAGAAGCATTTTGAATGTGGGGGGGGGGGGGGGGATAACACACTGGCATAAAACTAATATTTTATGTTAAATGTGGGGGGGTCCAAACGAATAATTTTGAAATTTAATGGCAGCAATGCCCATGCCACGATCCCAGGGGGCATACCAACACAGAGGGTGAATTCAACACAGACGTTAAATGTTTTGCAGTTAAAATGAATGTATAACTAAAGATTCACAACCAAAGGTACGGGAAAGTTAGAGACAATTACGGGAAGCTTTCAGAGTGACATTTTCTAGCACACTTAGAAACAGCAACAACCAAAATTTTAAAGTCACTTCAGTCTAATCTTGATGCCTGTCATCAAACCTTTTTTTTTTTTTTTTTTTTACCTTAACCGAACAATCATTTGTTGTACAATAATGTTCAAAATATTCAAATGAGGAATTTTATTTGCCAAATTACTATGAATATAACTGCTGGGTATTAAAAGACCATGTTGTACTTTAGAATGAGATCTTAGCTGTTTTGTGCAATGTGATTCTCTTTATTGTTTCTGTATGTGAAATATTGAGGTGTTTGAACTGAAAAAAGTGTTTTTATTTCCTCTCAAATTCTCTCTAGTGTTCAGAACATAGTGTTGACCTGAATGTATAACCAATCACACGATTATATATATTTTATGTTGGATCGTACAGACCTTGTTTACCACCGCGGAGGCTGATACCCTGAACTGAGGTCCTCGGTTCATCTCACTCTGCTTCAGTGTCCAGTTCTGTCTCCTAGTTACTGGTTATTGCTCATGCATATGCCGCCGGTTACAGGCTACCTGTCACACTGATCCTGCCTTTTACTGGTTAGCTCTCATGCATCCTGATGGTCACTGGTTATCTCCCACGCACATCCTGCCAGTCGTCTTTCCTTGGTGGTGTTTCCACATGACGCCTCAGGGCGTTTGACGTGAATGGCCTGCACCGCTCCTCTTCAGCTGTGAGCCGTGCTGTGGCCCTAACAGAGGGGACCCAGGGCCCCCGTCCGCTGTGGATGGACGGCCTCCTTCCCGTTGTGTGGTGTCACATGGGGACACCGGTCACATGGTCATGGCGAGACTCATGCTGACCGTAGGCGAGGTTGATGGTGATCAGGGATGATAGCATTGTCTGTAGCCTTCCACGGGGATTTCATGTGTCTCTGTGTCTGTCACTTATTATCAAACTGCAGCCTAGGGGGAGTGAGGAAGTCGTGCGTGACAGCCATGCCATCGCTGTTTGTTTACCGCCGTTTGGGAAGATTCGTCAGCCTGCTTTTCAAAGGTACGCGTGTGAGCTGGGCAGCTTTATTAAACATTACGGTTTGCTAGTAACATTATATGGTCTGACGCTCGACGTGAGTAGGGTGAGGTGGACGCCTCACCAAATGGCGCGACGGGTGGAGTGGATGGTGCTCAGAGCCCAGGCTTTGCTCTCACCTGTCTGTCTCACAGGACGGCAAGATGAAATCCATGATAGCCAAAGAATTCCTGCACACCTGTACCTGTACAAATACATGATTATTACATTTGTTTTTTAAACTGCCGACTGTATCGGGCAGTATTAAAATCACCAGATTATCTGACCTCAGTATTATTATACAGGCTTGAAATAAGGGACTGGGATCAATAACAAACCATCAGGTTGTGAAACGCATTTATTTGTACGTTTTTAGGTTTAATTGTCCGCAACATGCATCATTGTTGAAACTATTTTTAAATAAAGAGCATGATTATATCTTTCGGATGACTGGCTTTTTTTCTCACTGTGATGGAATGCAGAATTAGGGTAATAAGCCCACCTCTGACCTGCAGGAGCGTGTTTTACGGGCCCTGTGGTACCGCGCCCTGTGATACCGGGCCCTGTGATACCGGGCCACAATGCCGCTCCTCTGGAGGACGGAGGAGGTTTGGGGAAATTGTGATGAAAACAAGATGCTGTGGAGCGTTTTCATCTTAATGGATTATTGAATCATTTCAGGATTAGTAAAATGTAGGTCTCGTATGTAAAGTTTTAAAAGACATGACAATCACTACAATAACGGGTAATGTACCTTACCAGCTTTAATATACATTAATAACAAATACATTAATATGATAATACGTGATAATTGTATAATGTTTGCTATTAATATACATTACAGCTGTTAAGTATGTTAGGAT